TATGTCTGGAAACTTTCCAAAATTTCAAGTGTTTTAAAGTTATTGTATATTTTATATGTATTGTACTTGATAATTAAACTTGTGTACACCTGTACCTAAATAAACTTACACACTGTGCTGGCATGTAGGTACACATTAAAATCACTAAGTCTCTCTACTCTTGATGCAATAATTAATAAAAATAATAATAATTTTAATAATAATAATAATAATAATATTAATCTCTTAGGCGCATTAATGTCTCATATTACGTTAATATAGACATTTCCCTTAATCTATCTATGATATTTTTTTTCAAAATTATATAAGAAACACATTATGAAAACACACAAACATGATACATGCACCCACAGTATTAAAATTTATACAAATATATAAATGAGATGTTTACCAAACGGTTTGTAGAAGTGTCGGAAGAATTAAGTTTTCTCTAGCCGTCACCGGGTTACTAGGGATAACTGTAGAAAAAATATTCCTTTCGTATGCCTTCACTTTATAGCTATAATTCTGTACAAAACTTGTACACAGTGTAAGAGTATTTGTTTCGTGATTTAATTATAATAATAATAAAAATATTATAAGGTAAAAGTTTCACAAACTCTTACAAATGTACATGAATGAACTAAAACTGGACACGTATTAATACCGTCTATTTCGCCTGACCGAGTGATCGTCCACAACCTGTTCAGTTTGTTTGTTTACGCTGTCTGAGCTCGGTGTATCATTAAATGTTGTATATTACGTTAATATAACATTTTCATTAATCCATCCGTGATATTTTTTTCAAAATTATATAATAAACACGATACATAACATAATACATAACAACATATGTGTAGAGAACCTAGGATAACCCAAAAAAGTCAGAGTGACTTACTTCCATTGCCTTCACTCAGAGCATCATTTCTTCTCAAAATTTATGTTACATGAGAATGGGAGTGTTCTTCTTTATTTATTCTACCGTATCAATGTAGAGACAACCTGTACACAATGTAACTTGTACACAAACCAGACGTGTCATGTTTACAAAACTTACCTTCGCCTGGTTTGTTTACATAACTCTGCGCCTGTCCTCTCTCATGCATCATTCTTTCTCTCTGGTATGGTAACCTGGCTGACTTTCCATTTCATACCACACTTGATTTTTTACAATAAATACTACTCATCTCACCCTATATTTTAAGGTAAGTAATGAGTGAACTGTATATACATTTTATCGCTCTGGGATGCTTAAATATCATAGAATAGTATGTGTGGGTGGGTTGGCCTGGTATGGTAGCCTGGCTGACTACCATACATACCACACTTGATTTTTTACAATAATACTATTCATCTCACCCTATATTTTAAGGTAAGTAATGAGTGAACTGTATATACATTTTATCGCTCTGGGATGCTTAAATATCATAGAATAGTATGTGTGGGTGGGGTGGCCTGGTATGGTAGCCTGGCTGACTACCATACATACCACACTTGATTTCTTACAATAAATACTACTTGTCTCACCCTAGATTAAGACTATAAATATTTTAAGGTAAGTAATGAGTGCACTATGTGTGTATTGTACTTTTTTATTGTTTTTTTGATGCCTGGTTCTATTGCTAACATAATATATGTTAGTGTAAACTTGTTATCTAGTGTTTGTATGCATTTGTAAGTGGAAAAAAAGGGTGTTCCACTTTACGGCGGTTTCCGCTTTACGGCGGTAGCCTGGAACCTAACCCGCCGTATAAGTGGGGCCCTCCTGTACAAGCATATATATACACACCCCTGTGGGTTTTCTGCTATTTTCTTTCTAGTTCTTATTCTTGTTTATTTCATCTTATCTCCATGGGAAAGTGGAACAGAATTCTTCCTCCGTAATCCATGCGTGTTGTAAGAGGCGACTAAATTCCCAGGGGCAAGGGGTTAGTAACTTTTGTTTTTCTTTTTTGGGTCACCCTGCCTTGGTGGGATATGGCCGGTTTGTTGAAAAAAAAAATATATATACACCTCAACACACGGCTCACTTTTTTCCTTCATCAATTCTATGGTTGACCTCATCTTTCATAAACCTATCCACTGACACATCAACTCCCATATATCTGAAAAAATTAACTTCTTCCATACTCCCTCTCTCCAATGTGACCTCCAATTTTTCTTTATCTAAATCATTTGATACCCTCATCACCTTACTCTTATCTATGTTCCTTTCAATTTTCTACCTTTACACACCCTCCAAAACTCATTCATTAACCTTTGCAACTTAAATTTAGAATTTCCCAAAAGCACAGTATCATCAGTAAAAAGTAACTGTGTCATCTCCCATTTTGTATTTGATTCCCCATAATTTAATCTCACCCCTCTTCCCAACACTCTAGCATTTATTTCTTGTACAACCCCATCTATAAATATATTAAACCACCATGATGACATTCCACATCCTTGTCTAAGACCTACTTTTACCAGGAAGTAATCACCCTCTCTCCTACACACCCTAACCTGAGCCTATCCTCATAAAAATTCTTTACAGCATTTAGTAGCTTACTACCTATTCCATGCACTTGCAACTAGTAGGTTGGTAGACAGCAACCAATCAGGGAGGTACTACCGTCCTACCAAGTGAGTGTACAACGGAAACCTGTATTTGTTTTACATGACGGTAGGATTGCTGGTGTCTTTTTTCTGTCTCTTAATTAAACATGCAAGATTTCAGGTCTGTCTTGTTCTACTTACACTTAGGTCACACTACACATTCACATTCAAGCATTTGTATACACACTCCTCTGGGTTTTCTTCTATTTTCTTGCTAGTTCTTGTTCTTGTTTATTACCTTTTATCTCCATAAGGCATGCGTGTCGTAAGAGGTGACTAACATGCTGGGAGCAAGGGGCTAGTAACCCCTTTCCCTGAATACATTATACTAAAGTTAAAAAGAGAATTTTTTTGTTTTTCTTCTTGAGCCACCCTGCTTTGGTGGGATACAGCTGGTTTGTTGAAAGAAGAATTTATACAGGAGTAGACGGTCAATTACCCCCTACTCCCTGCATTTTAATCGCCACTTACAACACGCATGGGTTATGGAGGAAGGATTCAATAATGATTATCTTTTTATAAATTGCAAATTTAATTTTTTTTTTTTTTTTTTTTTTTTGGTGTGGGGGAGAGGTGTCATGGTAATAGCTTTTCCCATATACATGTATTCTATAGTCCACATATTGCTGTCTCTTGAAAAGTGCAGATTTCAGAAATGTAATCCATACAATATTTAACCCTTAAACTGTCCAAACATAGATCAACGTTTTTTCAACATTTGAACGTATGTAAAAAAACGTAATCTTTTTGTTTTTTTTTACATTTGAAAACATGTAAAAAAACAGTGATCTACATTTTTTTTGTTATATTTGAAAATACAGTGGACCCCCGCTTAACGATCACCTCCAAATGCGACCAATTATGTAAGTGTATTTATGTAAGTGCGTTTGTACGTGTATGTTTGGGGGTCTGAAATGGACTAATCTACTTCACAATATTCCTTATGGGAACAAATTCGGTCAGTACTGGCACCTGAACATACTACTGGAATGAAAAAAGTTCGTTAACCGGGGGTCCACTGTATGTAAAAAAACGTAGATCTACTTTTGGAGCACTACGCATGTGAACATAGATCTGTTTGGACAGTTTAAGGGTTAAGCATCTACAGTGGAACCTCGGTTTTCGTCATTAATTCATTCCAGAAAGTCTGACGAAAACCGAATTCGACGAAAACTGAAGGAATATTTCCCATAAGAAATAATGTAAATCCAATTAATCCATTCCAGACACCCAAAAGTATTAAAAAAAAATACATTTTATAGAGAATAACCATAGTTTTACATACAGAAAACAATGATAAATAAATATAAATGACTAATGAAATGGATAAATGAACATTTAATATCACTTTTACCTTTATTGAAGATTCTTATTGGCCTATGGAAGTCGCGAGGAAGGGAAAGGGAGGAGGAGAGGTTATTGGTTGGAAGGGGAATCCCACTCCATAAGGACTTCAGGTATCAAATTCCTATCCGGGGTTACTTCCCTTCTTTGTCTTTTACTTTCACTGGACCCCTGTCGCACGAAAAATCTATCCAGAGAGGTCTGTTTCTGGCATCTCTAAGATTTGCCTAAAATGGGACAAGGTATTGTCATTGAACATGTTGCAGACACGGCTTGCAACAGCCTTGTTAGGGTGATATTTCTCCACAAAACTTTGCAGCTCACTCCACTTTGCACACATGTCCTTAATCACTGAAGAAGGCACATTCTCCCCTCTCTCTTCCTCCTCCTCTGAAGGTGTTGCAGCTCTTCATTAGCACATTTACCCCTTTCACAAAATCAGATTCCTTGATTTCTTTTTCTTCACCAGGATAGAACTGCTCATTGATGAGGACTTCCCGTACATTCTGGTGAGATTGACCACACGTACGCCACTTTCGTACTTTGCAACGAGTTCTTTCTTGAATTCTATTGTATTTCTCGCCTTCTTTACCAAAGGGTTGGCAGTCAGAACTTTCTTTGGCCCCATGGAGGCTTATTTAGCAGTCACACACTCAATAAACAAACAGAAAAAACAATGGATTATTACGAAATGTTTCGGATGATCACGCAGGGTGATGCTCACTTGATGAGAAACAAAGCCAGACTGATTCAGAATGCGTGGGATGTTTTGTGTGGGTGCAGGTAGGTGGATACGTTCAGTAAGGCGGACTGACGAAAACCGTGACGATGAACGAAAACTGGGACAAAACTGACGAAAAGTCGTCGAAAACCGAATGTGACGAAAACCAGGGCAAACGAAAACCGAGGTTCCACTGTACTGTAATATTTTTTTGTGTTTCAAGAAGGTATTTTTTACACTGCCCACTATAATCATTCAAGCCATACTGAAATTTTATTCATAATAACTTCTGGATGGGTAATACTTTGAATGTGGGTTTCACTTTACATATATGTTAAAAGAAAAACAAAAACGCACCAACCTTCACTACTGCCATCTTTGCCCATAATGATAGTCATCGATGTGATGATCTGCTGGGCTACTGGAGCAGGCATAGACGAAGCATACACCTGAGCATGACTGGTCACACGGAGGTAGTTAATCAGATCCTTTAAAAATAATTTTCATAATTAAAATCTGCAAAATTAACTATGAATGGGAAAACTAAAAAATACCATAATTCCTGTTACAAGTCTATTATAACTGCCTCAAACTAATTATGAGTCCACAAGAAATTCTGAAGGAAGGGTGTTAATGTTGCAGTTTAAAAACTGTAGTGTAAAGCACCCTTCTGGCAAGACAGTGATGGAGTGAACGATGGTGAAAGTTTTTCTTTTTCAGGACACCCTGCCTTGGCGGGAGTCGGCCAGTGTGTTAATAATAAAAAAAAAAAATTCATTTTTTTTTTTAACAGACCACCTGTCTCCCACTGAGGTAGGGTGACCCGAAAAAAAGAGAAACACTTTCACAATCACTCAATCATGATATCCTGTACAATTTATACAACATTAGGAGATATTCAATGACAATAATGGAAATGACACTGGGTAGTTAACCCTTTGACTGTCGCGGCCGTATATATACGTCTTACGAGGTACCGTGTTTGACGTATATATACTCATAAATTCTAGCGGCTTCAAATCAAGCAGGAGAAAGCTGGTAGGCCCACATGTGAGAGAATGGGTCTGTGTGGTCAGTGTGCACCATATAAAAAAAATCCTGGAGCACACAGTGCATAATGAGGAAAAAAAAAACTCCGACCGTTTTTTTTAATTAAAATGCCGACTTTGTGGTCTATTTTCATATAGTATTTATGGTTGTATTCTCGTTTTTCTTGGTTCAATTTGTAGGAAAGGAAAACATATTATAGAAATAGAGGTGATTTTGATTGATTTTACTATAAAAAGAACCTAGAAAGGAGCTCAAAGTAGGGGGAAAAGTTTGATTTTTGCCAATGTTCAAAAATAAACAAAAGATGCCATTGTCCAATAAATGTTCAACTAGCCATTCTAATATGCAGTCATGAATGGATTGATGTTATTTATACAATTATTACAGTATTGGAGTAGTCTGCGTAAAAGTAAGTCTTCTATTTTTTGTTTGAATAAAAATTCAAAATAGAAAGCAAGAGTAAAAATCAGAGAGGCCTGGAGAGACATGAATGAGAGCAAAGAAATGTTTTTTAGAGCCAGGAATGTCTTTCATTGTTCATTCTGGACCTTATTTTGAAATTGTCATATTTTTTAGTTTTCGTGAAATTTGGGAAAAATTGAAATTTCTGCCCACATTATTAGGTAGTTGAAATGGGTAAAGGGGCTTTTTTTGTACTCAATCGATAGAAAAAATGGATTTTAAAAAAAATAGCTATGAGTTTGGCAACTGGAAAATGGAATTAGCCCAAAAATAGGGCTCAAAGTGGGGGAAATCTCCCATTTGTAAACGCGCCGAGGCGCAACTTTGCGAGAGCATAATTCCGTCAGTTTTTAATCAAATTTCGTTTTTTTTTGGTTATTACAATGGGAAAAGATTCCCATCTTTCATAAAAAAATTTTTTTTTTTTTTTTTTTTTAATTTTGCGAACCGGGACCCTCAGGTTGGGGGGTTTCGACAGTCAAAGGTTAAGGTTGATTGGTGCTAAGTATAAAATGTTCAACTACCTGAATATAAATTATTAATGATTTTTTTAAAAATTTTTTAAGGACTTGCTGTATACCGCCTTTGAGTTCAGGGGTCGTCTGTTTGAATTCATTTATGACTCAGTTTACCAAATAAGCAGGAGGAATGGGTCTATCATGGTGTACATATATAAAAAACCTGCCCCCCGCAAGTATGATGGGGGAAAAAATGACCATGTATTTGGTTTAAAATAGCGACTTTGAAATGTATTTTGGGATGATTTTTATGGATGTATTCGTAGTATCTGGATATCATTGGATAGAATGGAAGATATACTACAGAAATAGAGATGATTTTGAATGATTTTAGGACTGGAAGTAGCTTGAAACCGAGTAAAAGTGGACCCGGTTAACGATTTTATCCGTGCAAGGGGGATAATTGTTATGCGAAATAATCGTTATGCGAATGAATTTTCCCCATAAGAAATAATGGAAATAAAATTAATCCGTGCAAGACACCCAAAAGTATGAAAAAAATTTTTTTTACTACATGAAATATTAATTTTAATACACACAAAAATGAAAAAGGCATGCACACTTCATGACATTTAAACTTTTATTGAAGATCTGGTGATGTTTGGGATGGGATGGAGGAGGGGAGAGCATTATCTTCTTACTTTGTTTAGAAGGGAATCCCTTCCATTACGACTTGAGGTTTGCAAGTCCTTTTCCGGGGTTAATCCCTTCTTCTTTTAAAGCCACTAGGACCAGTTTTAGAGTCACTGGACCTCTGTCGCACAACAATCTGTCCATAGAGCTCTGTAAACCCCCCGTTCCTTACGATTTGTCCTAAAAAAGGGCCACAACATTGTCATTGAAATAGTCACCAGCACGGCTTGCAACAGCTGTGTCAGGGTGATTTCATCTATAAAGGTTTGCAGTTCAACCCCCTGTGCACACATTTCCTTAATCTTTGAAGTAGGCACAATGGGTTCCACAAAATGGCATAGGCTTCTCAGGGTTGCCCCAAACCCTTCAAAATCTTTCTTAATTTCCATACTAATTCTCACCCTTTTTACCACAGGGTTGGCACTAGAAGCTTTCTTGGGGCCCATGGTCACTTATTTTCCAGAAACAGCACCGAAAACACTGTAATAATACGAAATATTCCGATTGTATGCTTGGATGTTACCGCGGAGGCTGGCTGGTAAACAATGCCACCCGGCGGAACATGTGAGCGCGTCTCGGAAGAAAATCGGTAAGCGGGTTTTTAAGCGGTATGTGAGGCAAAATTTTTGCAATTAAAGTAAGCGGTATGCGAAATAATCGCTATGTGATGCCATCGTTATGCGGGGGTCCACTGTACAAAGTAGCAGAAATATTTGATCTTTGCGGATATTCCATAGAACACAAATTATGTCACTCGTCCAATATGCATCCACTTGGTTAGTCTAATACAAGTTCACAAATTTGCTAACATTATTTATACAATTATTGCAATAATACAATCTTTTATTTTGTGTGAAAAAAAATTCAAAATGAAAAGCAAGTGTAATATAGGAAAGGCCTGGGGACATAACTAATGAACAGAGGAAATGTTTTAGTGCCAGGAATGTCAACAATGTTTCTTCTGGACCCTATTTTTAAATTGGCATTTTAATTTTGTGCATAACTGGTCAAATTACTCATTTCTTATCACTTTACTGGGTAGTTGAAATTATTAAATGGGCAGTTTCTTGTACTTAGTCGACAGAATGGAAGGCATACTAATAGCTATGAATTTGGTCGACTGGAACAATGGAATTGGCCTAAAACAGGACTCAATGGCAAAACTGCCAATGCATATTATTATTATTATAATCAAGGGGGAAGCGCTAAACCCGGAAGATTATACAGCGCCTGGGGGGGGGGGTTGATGTGGAAGGCATTCAGGCTTAATTCGGGGAACTGGAGCACAGATCCAATTCCCTAAATCAAGAGCCCCTCACCAACATCAAGGAACCTTCCTTGAGGGGTGCCAATGCATAAATATTCCAAAGATCACTAACTTTGAAAAAGCATAATTCCATAAGTTCTCCACCAAATTTCATACTTTTGGTATCATTACCTTCAGAAAAAGTTTCTCTACCATTTCATAAGAAAAGTAAAATTTTTTTGAATTCCTGGACCTTAACCCTTAAATTGTTCAAATGTAGATCCATGTTTTCATTGCCAGTGTTTCGAATATTTAAAAAAAAAAAATTAAAGAGGGCAATTTTCTGTGTAATAAGACCAACAAAAAAAATTTAGGATCAGCACTTGTCGAGATATAAGGCCGTCAAGTTGGCACTGGATGCTCACCTGATGGCAACATCAGGTAAACATCCAAAAAGTGTTGGTGATTTACCTTTTTTCTTGTTTTTATTTTAATTTATATAATTTTTATGCTCTGATAATTACAATTTGTAGTAGTTCTTGTGAGTTCATAGCCAATCTGTGTTCTGGCACTAATATTAAGTATGTACTGAAATAGTACTCAGTCACAAACCCACTGACAGGTGACCATTTTCACCTGCCTTGGTCACATACTATTGTCTAGAAATATATATAAAGAATTTATAGGCCCCAGTAATGTTTGCCATGCTGGAGTATATATGAAACTCTTTGAAGCATGGTGTAAGATGAGTGTCGCACTACTGCTGACAGTGCAACAGTGGAATGACATTTAATGATCGAGCACTGCTCCAGAGAACTGTGGCTTTGTTTTCACTGCTACACAAACATGTCTGTCTAGCTCTGTCTGCTCATCTGTCTTTCTGCTTGTCTCTGTCTTCCTGTCTTTCTCTGCTTGTCTCCGTCTCAGAGAGCCGCTCATGAACCAGCAGGCATTACACACGAAGCAGAGTCGTCATGTCTGATTCCTGATCAAATGAAAATGTTTATTACTTGCTAGTCAAGCTTATTATGCCTTATATCTACAAGAACAGTATAGCACTTTGGCTGGATTTTTTTTGGGTTATCCTGGGTAATTTACTTATGTGTACCTGTGAGACAGCCAGACAGACAGCCAGACAGACAGCCAGACAGACAGCCAGACAGCCAGCCAGCCAGCCAGCCAGGCATCCAGCCAGGCATCCAGCCAGGCATCCAGCCGGGCATCCAGCCGGGCATCCAGCCGGGCATCCAGCCGGGCATCCAGCCAGCCAGACATCCAGCCAGACATCCAGCCAGCCAGCCAGCCAGCCAGCCAGACATCCAGCCCGCCAGACATACAGCCAGTCAGCCAGCCAGACATCCAGCCAGCCAGACATCCAGCCAGGCAGGCAGCCAAGCAGGCAGGCAGGCAGGCAGGCAGCCAGCCAGCCACGCAGGCAGGCAGCCAGCCACGCAGGCAGGCAGCCAGCCAGCCAGTCTGCCAAATACATATTACACATTCCAGAATTGTTTCTCTTTACTTAGGGCATGGGTTATAGGACACCAATGGTATCAAAACTGAAAGGATGTTGCACAAATGT